GACAGAATATCACATCTCTCACGTGAAAGTCTAGATCTGATTATACACACGATTTTATGTAGCAAAATATACATATCTAGGGCACAGGGGGCAGAAGGGAGACTGTGTAGGTGAGGGAGTGGCTCAGAGAGAGAGAGACAGGAGAGAGAAGGGAGACTAAGAGGGGAAAATATGCACAGATGCAGAAATATATGTGTATAACAATGTCATAAAACAAGGTGGGGAGAAGGCTCTGGGTGTGGGGTCTCCCTTTTCTCATGGAATGTGAGGACAACGGGAGCACAGATGTCAACTGCTGTCTCCATACACGCTTACCCGTGTGCACAAATGTACAAACATACATGTGTACACACATGAGGACCTTTTTAGTGACTAATACACTCTTGAGGTCTCAGTCTTAGGACTGCTCAGAGCCGAGAAAAATGGTTCTATCAGCAACAACACCAGATCAAACAAGATAGAGAAATACACTTAGAACTGATTAAAGTAAGTACCACTGCTGACTGGAGAGCAGAAAGTGGCAAAAGTGATATGCTTTAACCTTAGAAGTTATGTAAAAGGAAGGAAGCAGGAGGGGAAGTGAGGTTAAATAAATGAAAGGAAAAGGCTGGGGTGTAGCTTAGCTGGAAGAGTGCATGAACTGTTATTGTATTTGATCTCCAGTGCTGCTTAGGGCCTGCTGGGATGCATTCCTGTAATCCAGCACTTGTGAGGGGGAGGCAGGAAGACACAAAGCCCAGTGTCAAGCTCACACACACACACGCACACGCACACGCACACGCGCACGCGCACGCACACGCACACGCACACGCACACACACGCGCGCGCGCACACACACACACACACACACACACACACACACACACACACACCAAATGGCAGGCTGGGGTGTAGCTTAGTTGGAAGAGTGCATGAACTGTTATTGTATTTGATCTCCAGTGCTGCTTAGGGCCTGCTGGGATGCATTCCTGTAATCCAGCACTTGTGAGGGGGAGGCAGGAAGACACAAAGCCGAGTGTCAAGCTCACACACACACACACACACACACACACACACACACACGGAGAATAGGAGCTTCAGGCCTGAAAAATTCAAAACTGACAGTTACCCTCATGCGATGAGCTCAGTTCCTAGCTCAAGGGCAGGGACCCTTTTCCGTGGTACCTGAAGTTTCCAAGTTGTGGCTCTCCTCCTCACCTCAGCTGCCTACTGTGGCTGTCTATGCTGGAGTGAAGGCAGGTTGAGCCCACACTTTCTGATGTATGCTTGTTTCTTGTTTTCAGGTACCCGGGTAGATCACATTTTCAGCAATAGGTTCTCTCTCAACACAGAGCCTGTCCGCAGCTTTCTGAGACATGGAGAGTCCTTACCTGGGGTGCGGCTCCCCTTTGATGCTGACCCATCAAGATGGGGGAGCCACTGTGTCACTCTAGCCCCAAATTGGACTTGAGGCTTTCACAGAATGTGGGCTAGTTCTATACGGGTTGGACAATGGATGTTTTTGCCAGGGCTTCCTCGCTGGGATGAAGCGTTGCAGGGACTGGAGCCTGTGCCGCCATCTCCTGTCAGCTATGCAACACTTCTCTGTTTTACTGTCTGTCTGCCTGTGGTTTTTATTGTTCTTCCAGTCATCTTATTTTTTGTTATCTGGCTCCTCTCATCTACTGCATCCCAGAGATGTGGCTTCTCATTTGCCATCTTGCTCATGAAGTCTCCTTGGCAGGCTTTGTAGCTTTTGCTCTTACACTTACTTATTTCATCCATTTTAATAATTCTATGTATGATATACCATAAGGCTTCAGCTTTTGTTTTCATGTGTGTTTTCCCACATCATTTATTACAAAGAACATTCTTTCCATTTGAGTAGTTTTGTCACAAACCATTGACTGTGGGTGTATCTGCCCATCACCGGTGTATCTCTGGACTCTGCATTCTCTTGTGCTGATTTATGCCTGAACCTCACTGCCTTGAGACTTGTTTTGTGTTAAGTTTTAAAGAAGTTTTGTGCTTTTACAGACTATTCTGATTTTCTGCAACCCTTGCTAATGAAATTTAGGCTTCTGCAAAGAAGCCAGTTAGAATTCTGATAGAGATCGTGGTGTCTGTGCATAGACTTTGAGGTCTCTGTATTAGCAATGTTACGTCTTCTGATCCCTAAAATGGAGTATCTTTCCATTTATATTGTTGTACATTTCATTTGTCTAATAGCTTCGGGTTTTGAACTCTTCTGTAAATATTTTCCTAAATATTTTTTACTTTTGGTGTCAGGGTAGCTGCTTTGCTGACTTTGCTGTTGGTTAGTTGATCACAAGTGTGTGGACATGTATGCACTTTGTGCACCGACCACATGCTACATATAACTGAATTCACTTGCGAGCTCTTCATTCCTTGGGATCTTTTATATAGAAGGTGATACAATCTGCTCATAGACATTGTCTTCCATTCCATTTTATCTGGGCTCTTACTAGTTTTTGCCTATTTGTCTTAGGTAGGCCTTCTAGTACTGTTTTCAGTAGGAATGAAAAGGTAGGCATCCTTATCTTATTCTCAGTCTTAGGGGAAAGAATCCTACATTTCACAATTAAGTATAATTTCTGTTTAGTGTTGTCCTTAGATAACCTTTACCAAAATTGAAGAAATCACCTTTTATGGTCTATACCATTTTTGTATCATTTATAAGAATTATCTGTGAATGAAACTAATTGGGTAATTTGTAAGTGTTGCAAAGATTTACCTAAGGTGAACTGAAGATACGCAGTTTTCCCTCAGCCAAAAAAGGTAATAAAATGTACTTCAAGTAATATGTAGATGCCCATGTTTTTGCTGGCTAGTGCTGGAAAACACTGAGTAATTGAGAATAGCAAGAACAATTTGCATAGGTGGTGAAATTAAAATGTAACTGTTAGGGACTCAGATTGTTCAGATACTGGGAAGACTCCATGAGTGGTGCCAGCCAACTTCATGGTGCGGCTTTTCTGGTGTGTGAGCGTCGCCCATAGTAGGACCACTGCACTGCTACGCACTGAGTTTCTGATGTGATTACTGCATTTTCCACTCACGTCACTTCAGGGATCTCTTCTCGTGTAGAACAACCAGAAATATACTTAGCAGAGTATATAATGTGAGCATTTAAACTAAAATACATTGCAGCAGCTTTTGAAAGCATAGATTAGTTTTGCTGTAGAACGAATTCTAGTTGGTCTTAACAATAAGTTCAAGCTGAAAATCAGGGAAGCAAAGCAGCCAGCCACTAGGGAGTTCTTACCTCTACCAAGGCTAAGACCAAAGAGGTGTGTGTGTGTTTGGGGTGGGGGGACACGGACGGACACACACCACAATCCTGTCCTCAGAGTGAATGCAGACTGCAATATTCTCTACCAAACCACAGACTCACTGAGACTGCACTGAGCTCCTGCCTTATATTCCTCTCTAGTGCTGGGATTAAAGGCGTGTCATCCCGAGTGCTGGGATCAAAGGTGTGAGCTCTGTTCCTCTTTTAGACTCATTCACTCTCATGTAGTCCAGGGTGGCCTTGAACTAACAGAGATCTATCTGCCTTTGTCTCCTGAGTGCTGGGATTAAAGTTGTGGCCACCACCACCTGTCTTCTATGGCCAACTGGTGGCTTAGGTGTGTGGCTAGCTAGTGGCTTAGCTCTTAACTAAGTGTGTGGCTAGTTAGCGGCTTAGCTCTGCACTCTGATCTTCAGGCAAGCTTTACTTGTTAGATTACAAACAAAATATCACTACATTTTCTATGTTGGTGTGTTTCCATTTGAGGTACACTGTGAGCAGTTACTAAAATGTAGCATTTAAATATAGTCTTTTAAAAAAGATTCGTGCATGTTGTTAAGAAGTAACTGTTTTGTCTACCAATGTACTTATTTTAACTTACAGGAAAACATCTTTATGTATGGAGGCAGAATTGAGACAAGTGATGGCAATGTCACAGATGAATTATGGGTTTTTAATATCCCCAGCCAGTCATGGAGTACAAAAACCCCCACTGTTCTTGGGCATGGCCAGCAGTATGCGGTGGAGGGACACTCAGCACACATTATGGAGCTAGATAGCAGAGATGTTGTCATGATTGTGATATTTGGATATTCTGCAATATACGGTTACACAAGCAGCATACAGGAATACCACATCTGTAAGTTTCATTTAAAATGTCATTTCTTATGGGTTGGAGCCCTTTTATTTTTAATCTAATTATTTGGTGAAAATGGTGAGTTATTTTAGATTGGACTTATAAGGCAAGGACTAATGTTTTTTCAGTGTCATCTTTTTGATTATGCTATGTTTTGTTCTTTAATATTTGGTGTATCTCTTAGCCAGATGAGGAGGAAATGTTACATACTCATTTCCAAAGACACAAATATTCTTAAATATGAGACGTTCCAATAGATGGTGCTGTTTCCTTGGATTTTACCTATTAATGGAAAGCTGAAATTATCTCTTGTCTTTGTGTTTCATGAATTTTATAATTTTCACTTTTCTGTATTAAGTTCTTAGTCCCACTGCTAGACCTGTTAAGTACATTATCAAGGGTGAGCTGCCAGCTTCTAAAGATCATTACTAGTATTTGAGGCAACCTGGTCAATCTGTGCATGAGTTTCTGGATTATTGTTCTTTTTTCTTTAAGTAATTTTTTTCTAGTCTCCCCCTTCTCCATTCCTTAAGACATTTTCATGGAGTAGTACTTTTTTGTTGTTTTTAGTTTGTCTACAAACATTTATCTTGCTGCTATTTAAAGTTAAGAATATACTCATTTCTGGGTGTTGTTCACTTGCTGAGGTCCAGTTCTTGGCATTTGTGTTAACACACATGTAACCTCACAGACTCCTTCTGTAGGGTCAGCAGGACCTCCCCTCTGCAGGCACATTTGAAGTGAGAATGCCAACCTGTGGGTCTCGACCCATCAACAAACCTGTCTCCAAAAGTATTTGCCATTCATCACAGTATCAAAACTACAGCTGTAAAGTAGCAGTGAGACTCATTTTATGATTTGGGTCCCCGCAGCATGAAGACCTGCATTAAAGGGTCATAGCTGAGGAAGGCTGAGACGCTCTGGCTTAGCGGGAGATGCAGCTCACAGTCTCCCCGAAGCCCTTCAGGTGGCGGCAGGCCCGTTTTCGTGTCCTCCATACCCCGGTGTGAAAGCGGGACATGCCACATCTGGTCTTGTACTGTCATTTCCATTTTAGTGTCCTTGCCTCAGTCCTAACAGCCTGGCTGTGGACCTCACTGTTCCTCACCTCATACTCATCGTTTGCTGGTCTATTCAGTCATTGTTCTGTTTTCTGGACTTAGATTCTGGCTTACTGTCATCTTGTCTAACACACACGCACACCCCATATATATATTAATTTAACTTTCTTTTTTATTTATCTTTTGTGTTTTTCACATCATACATCCCAATCCGACCCATCTCCTGTTTATGCAGTTAGCTTAGGTTTAAGAGAGTGGTCATGTAACTTTTATCTCTTTTATATAACAAATTTATTTCAAGTTTGTTACACAGAAGGCCATAATGAATATTTGCTGTATACTTTATTTTATTAAAGTCTATTTTTGAATAACATAAGTACATATAAGGTAAGTTTCCCCTTTTTTCTTTGTAATCTTAAAAGTTGAATTTTCAGTGTCTTAGAATTTTGTATGGGAGACCTAGGACACAGTCTTCTCTCAACCCTCACTGTTGTACCTTCAGTTATGTACCAAGTAGCTCTGTCTGCTCATGAAGCTGTGCCAGAGTTACCTTGGCGCTTTTGTGACATTTTGGTTGTATTCTTAATGAGTTAACTTGGTGGCTTTGTGACATTTGGTTGGACTTTTAATTATTACTTTAATTATTACTTGAGTTTTGCGACTTGTTCTCTTCTTGCTGCAGCGTCAAACACTTGGCTGGTTCCAGAAACTAAAGGAGCCATTGTACAAGGTGGATACGGTCACACCAGTGTGTATGATGAAGTCACCAAGTCCATTTATGTCCATGGAGGTTATAAAGCACTGCCAGGCAACAAGTACGGTCTGGTGGATGACCTTTACAAGTACGAAGTTAACACCAAGACTTGGTGAGTAGATCAGGTAAAAATGTGTGAGAGGAAGAAACCTTGATAATAGTTGTATGATAATATTTGGATTGGCTCTTTTCAATATATTTTGATAGTATTCTTTCCCCTTCCCCTGCTCTCCCATACCCTCCCCACCTCCCAACCATCATCTTCATGTTCTTTTTCTCTCAGTAAAAAAACAAAAAGCAAAAAACCCAAAACAACTGCCAACCTCCCACAAATACCAAAACTAAAACAAAACAAAACAACATACACACACACACACACACACACACACACACACACACTCACACTCAAAACCGTGGAATTCATTTGGTGTTGGCCAACTACTCCTGGGCATGTGGTGTGGCTAGAGGTGTGGTTGATATATCCAGTGTCACTCCATTGGAGGGAACTGATTTTCCATTGCAGGGATCTTCTTGGTGAGGGATGGGATTTGGTGCCCACTTCCCCTTGCTGTGGCTTTGTCTGACTTGAACTTGAGGTCTTGAGTGTGCTGTCACAGTCCTGTGAGTTCCTATGAACTTGAGCCCTATTGTAATAATATCTTATAGTTGTGTAGCAGTGGTATTTATGGAATGACGTCACAGAAAAGCTTTTGAACTTTTAACATTTTTATGGTAACATACTATATTGTCAAGCAGCCATAGTACAAAATAACAAATTCCCCTATGTATAAACGATATAATTTCTGATCCCATAGGAATACCTACAAGGATCTCTGATACATTCATTTTAGATGAATAAAATTTTGTTTACGATTGTGATCTCAAGCTTTGGTATATGTCCAGGATTTGTCCCTATTTACACTATCATTTTAATATTTATTAACCTCACAAAAAACATTTTTCAGTCTTCTCATTTAACGTGAAAAAAATACAAATATACATTAGGATATACTTTTTGCTTTTTTACCAACAGTGATGTTGCACTAGTCATGTTATACTAGCCTTCTGAGGCTTATTTACAGCAATTTTTCTGAGGTGCATGCATGAAAGTGACATTGTAATGTGTTACCGAGCTGCCTTTCTGTTCTCTAGCACTGTGAGCGTCCAACAGCAGGGTGTGCCTTGCTCTCCATGGTCTCGGCAGCATTTGTTAGTGAGGATCCTACTCCTGTCCTTGTAGTAGCTGGAGACAGTAGCTCAGTGATGTTTGATGTGGGTTTTCACTAGTTAATATGGTGACTTTGAACTTTTTTTGTGTGTTCATTTTTCTCTTTTTGTTTAGTGTATGGCTTATTTATATCCTTAACATTCATTGTTTTGCTAGAGATACTTTTTCCTTTGTGTTTTGTGGTTATAGTTTCGATGTATGACTTTTAGTGTACTTATATGTTCTTTTGGGATCTGAGAAATTATGCTGTTTGTTTTAAGACAGTTGACATGTCCGCTGCAGGGTTTCATGCATTTAAGGAGAACTGGC